TCCAATAATAATTCAGTTCTAAGTATTTCATGAACCGATTGAAATTTCGATTAATTCCAAAGGCTTTGCATTGATGTACCAATTTTTGTGGTATGTATCCTTGTTTGGTTCCCAATGATCTTCAGTTGTTTTTTTTGTATTTTCACCTGAATTCTGGTATATCCTTCTTTGCATTGCGTCATGGTAAGATCATTTCCTGTCATGTGAGATTGTGAAGAGGTTTATACTTAATACGCCCCTGGATGGATTATGAGTGACAAAAATGGGCAGAAATGTCATCCTGGCAATTATTTATTGCATAATCCATTGATAAATTACTTGTTCCTTCCCTATGGAATATGGTTGGCCAATTACCAAATTTCTACCTGTTGTTTTGGTCTAAGTGTCTTTAGTATTTAGTGGTTGGGCTGTTATCCTTTTATCATATTGTAGCTGGAATTATAATTTTCAGCTAGTATGTTATTTTTGCCAAGATTTAAGTACTCAACTGTTTTACCTTTGATGCAATCTGCTCAGGTCTTTCAGCCTTGAATTTTCTGCTTGCAAATGTAAAGCATAAGCATGTAATATCAATGATTTTAAAAGATTTGAAAAACGGTTCATTGGGGAGGCCCCTTGATGATGACTGTGAACCTTATGAAACTGTTAAATTTCCTTCTATTCTTTTTCCTTTCTCTTGGCCTTTTGCAGGAGGAATTGTTAGATGCTCCAATTCTACTTGATAACCGTCCTGTGAATAAAATCAAAGGTAATTGATACAGATTCAGATAATTATCTTTCATATGCTGAGTTGAAAGTACTGATCATAGGAATTCAGTTTGGTGAGGTAAATATGAATGAGGACAATGCTGCAAACAAACTAATGAAGGATCTTGATACACCTAATGGTTCTTGCATTGATGAGGATGAGTACATCCACAGAATATCAGAATGGCTTGAGTAAATTAAGTAATACAAATTGTAATTGAAATATATATATTAGTTAGCTGAGCTGGAGAGTTGGTTACAATAACTAACTTCTCTCTCTCTCTCTATATAGAGTTGTATATCTGTAATGAAGTGAACAAGAAAGATAATTTTCTCTCAAGCTTTCCCACTCGTTTTCCTGCTCTCTGGTATTTTTTTCATCTCTGTTATGGTATCAGAGCTCGAGGTTTTCATAGAATCAAAATAGGAGAAGCTTGAGATTTTTTCCAAACAGCCAAGATTTCTCCATCATTGGCATCGTCGGAAATGCTAAGAACAACCAATAGTTCTTCGTCACTGGATTTGTCGGAGACGTCCCAGGCTTCGTTGGAACCAAGAAGAGAGCTAGGAGAGCTACAGATTCGGCGGTTCTTGAGAAGAAAATTTCTCAGTCTACAATCTTCTTTGATCTTTCTTGCTCTTCGTTGTTCCTCATCGCTAATTGAATGTGGCTTGGCACGATCCTCGTCTTCTTGTTATCCCTCGCCGCGTTCCCAGCTAATTCCAACACCTCGGCTGCAAGATACTCAAGAACGATGGCGAGATATACTGGAGCACCGACACCAACTCTCTCTGCGTATTTACCGGCTTTCAGAAACCTAGCGATCCTTCCGACGGGAAACTGGAGCCTGGCCTTGCTGCTCCTGGATGCTGCCTTCTTTGAAGTTCCAATGCCAAGAGATTTTCCCCTTCTGGCCATATCGAACTTCTTGACAAGTAACTAAGCAAAGCTCCGAGAGGGATTGACAGCTCGGAACATATCAAACTTCTTGCTCTCCGTTCGTCCGCTGCATCAACATGAGGTCCAAGATCCGTCGACCGCCGATCTTTCTTGCTCTGAATTCTTGCTCTTCCACTCCTTCTGCCTCCCGCATAGTCGCAGATTCCTGCGCATCATCAACAACACGCGATGCGATACTACAGAGGGTCTCAGTCTCTCATACTTTTCAGTAGCTCATTAGCTATGCGAGTTTTCTTCTTTGGAAGGGTTATTTCTGTTGCCCCGTCGTCCTCTCCTGAACTGTCTTCACTTTCTCTTTGGAAAGAATTCAGAGCCTGGCTACGTTTGATTCAAGTTTTATGTTGATCATGTCAAGTTTGTCGTCTGCAGTGGAACTCTCACCTTTGTTGGATCCTGCTTCACCATATTATCTTCATTATTCGGATCATCATGGATCGGTCACCGTTTCGCCAGAACTTACAAGCTCTAATTACGCTTCATGGAGCAAATCTTTCCTTCTAGCCTTGTCAATCAGAAACAAAACCAGTTTCGTGGATGGAACTATTAAAGAACCAGCTCTGGATGATGCTCTTCACGGTGCTTGGATGAGATGCAACAATTTAATTGTTGCGTGGCTTCTCCGTTCGATTTCTCCTCCAATAGCATCCACTATGTTCTACATCAGTTCGGCATCACAGATATGGGAGACATTGAAGAAGAAATTCTCACAACCGGATGATTCAAAAATTTGTAATTTGCAGTTGTCGCTCAATACAATTACTCAGGGAACAAGAACTGTTGATGCCTATTTCACTGAGTTGACAGGAATATGGGAAGAATTAAGGAGTTATCAACCTCTACCCCACTGCTAGTGTGGAAAATGTTACAAGTACAGTTTCAAGATTTTTTCTGAAGCACAACAAAAGGACTATGTGTTCAAATTCATCAATGGATTGAATGAATCTTTTTCTGCCTTGAGATCACAAGTTATGGTCATGAAGCCCTTCCCCAATCTTGTTGAGGTGTATAATCTTGCTTTAAGGGAAGAATCTCAGAGACGCACAAATGTTTCTCCCTTACCTGAAATCAGTACGATGGCAATCAGTTATGGAAATCAGAAGAAAAAGTCAAGTGTTACCTACAGTCATTGCGGTAAAAATGGTCACTCAAAGGATAAATGCTATAGGATAATAGGTTTTCCTCCCAATTTCAAATTTATTAAAGGAAAATCTGCAACTGGTGATACACCTTCTGCTAATAGTGTAACTCAAGGCATTAGCACTCTGTCAAATGTTTCTGAGACATCACCAGCATTGTCACTCACTCCTGAGCAGGGAAGAAGGTTGCTAACTCTTCTCAATGGTTGTGACTCTTAGAACAGCCCCATTTCTCAACCAGAACATCCAGCCAATATTGCCTTTGCAGGTATGTTGGACCATATACATTTTGTTAACTCTCATTGCTCTTCATCTCAATTATCTCCCACTGATATATGGATTGTAGACACAGGGGCCACTACTTGTGAATTGATGTGGCTTTTTTCTTTGCTCATTGATTTTCGCATTACAGTTTCATTACCTATCTCATTACATTGTGATAATCATTCTGCAATCTATCTTTATCGTAATCCTGTGTTTCACGAGCGGAGTAAACACATTGAGGTGGATTGCCATTTTGTTCGGGATCAAGTTTAGAGTGGTTTCCTACATTTACTGCATTTGCCTTCTTCTGATAAGGTGGCAGATGCATTTACCAAGGCTCTACAACCTTCACATTTTCAGCGCTTAATAGGCAAGATGAACATGCTCAATATCCATATCTTGAGGGGGGTAATACAAATTGTAATTGAAATATATATATTAGTTAGCTGAGTTGGAGAGTTGGTTACAATAACTAACTTCTCTCTCTCTCTCTCTCTCTMTATATATATATATAGGTGTATATCTGTAATGAAGCGAGAAAGAAAGATAATTTTCTCTCAAGATTTCCCGCTCATTTTCCTGCTCTCTGATATATTTTTCATCTCTATTATTAAGCATTTTGTGGCTTCTGCTTCCTATAGAGGATTTCATACATTGAAGTATATTTGATGACTTTCAAAGATTAGGTTTGCATTGCTCTTCTCTTTAAAAATTTATTGATATAATTTTCCACTGTTCCTAAGCATTATAATGTTGTGATATTAATGCTAAGAGCATGTCAAGAAAGATGCTTGGGCTTTGGCCTTGGGTTAGGCCAAGCCTGAGCTTGGGGTTTGTATATTAGGATTGGGCCTTGGTTGGCCTCGAACCCTACCCAACCGACCTAGATGCTAGTTGCTTCATTGTAATAAAACGATCCTTCGAGATTTGGGATCCATTCATTTGACTATATCTTTTACCTCTTAATTGTTCTTGTTCAGTTTACAAATAATATGGGAAAACACTTGGAGTCCTTACCTCCTTGGGTGACATAAGGTGCAGGGCTATTGTGTTCAAAAACGATATCCTTTGGAGATGAGGACAAGTTATGTACAAAAGTATGTGTAGCACCTGTGGGTTATCCCCTCCAAAGGAAATCCTTTCCATATCCTCAAAACATGGAAATACCAAAATGGCTAAATCTAATCAAGAATTAGAGATGCCATGTCTTTACACATATACYTGAAGGCTCTTTTCTTGTCAAAGTTTCTCTCGTTGCTTTCCCTCTAGTCCCCCAAAACATTGCAAAGGGGATGATATTCCAAACGATCTTAGATTAGCAGTACCAGCATAGTTGGCCATTTTGGCAATATATCTTGAAAATGTTCTAGGCTGAACTAGTTTTTCATAGACATTGAGAAGAAAATGTTCTGGCCATTTTGGCAAAATATCTTGAAAATGTTTCACATTCTCCTCATTTTTTCCAAACATGACATATTTATTTGCCATTTCAGAGCCTCATTTTTGGCAATATATCGTGCCAGGGCCAGGTTGCGCCAGGGCCAAGCTGCCAGCTCATGCCAGGGCCAAGTTGCCAACTTGTGCCAGGCCGCGCCTAGTGGGACACCATCAACTTAGCAAAGGCAAGTTGTTGACAAAGTGGTCCCGGGTGTCGCCTAGTTGTTCTGAGGTGCTAGGCTACATGATGGCGAACTGCCTATGTATTGCAATGATGGCGAGCTGCCTAGTGGCGAACTACCTGTGAGTGCTGCATGATGGCGAACTGCCTAGTGGCGAACTGCCTATGGTAAGCTTCGAGTTGTCTAACTGTCAAGGGACTGCACTTAGTTGGCATGAGGTGCCAGGTGTCACAAGATCATTGGAGGGACAAATCCACCCTCATTAATAATTAAAAACAAAACCAAACATATTGTCAAATACACCCTAATTTGTTGAATTATTCTTTCGCCACCTCTGTCATCACCTAGAATTAAGACAAAATTTTCCTAGTCAAAACAATAATGTGCCATGTATCATGCCCTCTACAAACATTGCTTCCACTGTATTCAGCCATCGGTTTCTTCCTTTTTCTCCTTATCCGGAAGTATCAACAGCACAGACAAGCAATGAAATGCTCAGTGGGTGAAGCTGCAGCATGCTAACATGGGTATATCGATCGATTAAAACAATTTTGGGCATGCTTCATGAGTCACGCGGCCAATTAATATTATATAAGTTTTCCCTTTTCTTTGGATACCTAATTAACTAATAATACCTACCCTGACCCTGAGTACAAAGTTACCCAATTGCCTATGAATCTTCTTATGCCTTCTCAAGAAAAATAAAAACAAGAGAGATAGAAAAAGTGATTATATAGGCTGTGTTTGGTTTGAATGAGAAGATAGGGAAAGGCAGGGAAAACCCATACAAGATTTGTTAAGGTTTCCCTACCCTTTTCTTTCAAAGCAAACATAGCCATAGTTCAAAGATAGCCTTGAGGGCAATGCTAGTGAATATTGAGTGGTTTCTGCAGGTTATGTTGGTTTTCGGAGGTGTTGATGAAAATCGTCGAATCCAAGTTGGCTTGCTGCAACCCCTAACATGGGCATCAAGTTCAACTAATCCCAATCTGAGGAGATGATGATGTTTGTCTTGGCTTGTCATCAATCTCCATGCCAACCAACCGTGGGCTGCGGGAATCTGTCTTTGGCCTTATATATATACTCACCACTCACCAGCCAGCTCAATTGGGTCGCTAAATCCCCTTACAACTATTCCACCATCCATTGACCAAGAAAATATATATATGTTTCAAAAAAGATGGCTGAAATTTTTACATAGGCATAGGACCGTCAACGGATTCCCAAAATCCAATACCCAATCTCACATCTGATCCAATTATTTCGGGTTTAGATGTTAAAACATACATTAGTAATTAACTAGATGGATTGCAGATTTGATGCCATCTAATCCAGTTAAAACCCGAGTCTGATTATAAGTAATATAATAATGTATATATGTAGATGCAATATATATGATACGATCCAAATCCGACCCGTTCACAATGCTTTTGTAGGCACCCTATAGTTTAACAACGTATTTACTAAAACCTATCCTATTATTTTCATATTACTAAAACACCTGAGCTGTTGGGGGTATTTTGAAATAAAAAATCCTGGGCTCATACCCTATCACACTTTTCTATTTGTTGTAAGAGGTAACCAGATGATTCTTAAATGAAAATACAAACTGTCCCTGATGGAAGGTCAATTAAACRAAGCGGTTGCAAAGGGTATTTTGGTAATATACAAACTATAGGCTAGGTCTTAATAAATACACCAAGTTATAAGGGTTGTCTATAAGTAAATGGTCCTATAATTTGTGAACAATCAATTCTTCACTTGATAATTGTTTTAGGTAATTAATTTGTTTAACTATTCTTTTGGTCTCGTTTTTTTTTTTCTTTGGCTTTGGCTTTGGCCACTTGGTGTCATATAACCTATTAGAGTCTCATTAGAATACACAAAATATTCCAAACAAGAATCAAAACAATGATATGCCATGTCTCTCGCCTTTTATATAATTGTTCTTTTGCACGCGGCCCCCATTCGATTTATTCTCTTYTCCTCTTTCTCGGATGCAATAAAATAGTACTGCAGAAACAAACAAATGCCTGGTGGGTGAGGCTGCTGCGGCATGGTCATTGCTCACATGGCTACAATCCACCAATAACTATAAATTAAACAATTTTAAGAGTTATGATTCACGTGGCGCCACCAATTCGGAAGGAGATGTTGTTAGTATCTTAGAGTCSTTTGGTTTATAATCAGAATTCGAATCAGAATTGGAATCGAAATCTTCTATGATCTATTTTCATTGTCTATTTGGTTCAGACAGAAATAGTAATGGGAAAGAAAATTAAAATTAGCAGGAATGGGATTTCATTCCCAAGGGAATGACCATGCCATTTCAGCAAGAATGAGAATGGGATTCCGATTCCATCCAACCAAATAGTTGGAATCGGAATAGCCCATTCCGATTCTGATTCTAGACCCTTATTCCCACAAACAAAACAGGGCCTTAGGATTTTTTTTTTTTTGGGATTTTTAGACTGCACTTCACCTCAGAATTCAGATTTGAACTGCAGACCTACAATTAATAATTCAAATTTATGAACACCTCCACCTATAACACCCATACCTGCACGTGAATTGGCATCAATTCTGAGCTGGCACCTACCCCCCAACTGTACGATGGAACTAAGATTTCAGAGGTGGACAGAACAGTAAAAACCCCCTTTTTTTATTTCATTGTTATTTGGATAATTAACTACCCTGGCCCCCAAGAAAGAAAATGACCAAATTGCATATTCGGATTTTTATAAAAAAGAAGAAAAAGAGATGGAAATAGGTATGAGTAAAAAAAGTGGAGATGAGTGGCAATGATAATGGCAAAGGTTAATAAAGTTGAGATGGGTGGTTTCTGGCCATGGTAGAGGTGCTCAAAATTTTTGAAGGTGCCCTCTGCCTTTCTGGTGCTATAATATTGTAGGAGTTAGGATCTCCTGCTAGCAATAGCAATGTGGGACTAGATTGTCATATTTGCGGGGGGTGGGGGGGTTCTTTTTTTTGGATTTTGAGAAGAGGAAAGTTGGTCAATGGGATGACTTGAGAAAGTTTATTTTTTTAGGCATCACTTACCGGAAAAGTAATACCCATCTCCTAGGTGGATAAATAACTTTCTTACTTAGGGGGAAAGTTGTCAAATAAAAAACATGGATAAATGCACTTACCCAGATAAATCTTTCCTAAGAAACATTTACCTAGGTAAATGCATTTACCCAGTAAATAACTTATCGAAAAGCGAACGGGTCTTAGAAGCATATTAAAATTGAATCCCTCCTTCATTAGGGTTCAGTATTTGGAGAAAACTTGGGATCTTTTGAAAAGAAAAAAAAAACTGTTTTAAATTGGAGCTTCCAGCATGTGATACATTATGAAGAATGTGGGGTAAAAGAGTATTTGCAATCAATATCTTTTAGACAAAAAAAAGTAAAATTTGAAWTAAATAACTTGTTATGCGCACTCCCAAATAAATCAGACTGGTTTTCCCAAACAGCCAAAAATCTTCCAAGGATCTCTTCATTATAGCTAGTATTAAAAGGATCTCTTCATTTAGGCAGTGCATAATTTCATGCCGTTCATGCATGCACATGGCACCTAACATTTAACATGCTCTTGTCTTACCAAAAGAAAAAAGAAAAATTAGTTGTATTTTTATTCATGAACACCATGTCTGAACCCATGCTAAAATCAATGCAAATCATACAAAGCATGAAAGCATCCAGCCCATTTCCTATCTCGAAAGGAAAAATAAATAAAAAAATCGCACATTTGGTATGTGTAAGTCATGTATAAAAGTTTTGGGTGCATTTGATGGAAGAACGGAGTTGACTGATATTGGGTTAGAAACTTTCGCACATCACTGGATGAAATAAAAAAAAAAAAAAGTATTATTTTAATTCCTGAAATAGGGTGCTAAGAAATCACCTGTTACCACACAGTGCCACCACAGTGTCTAACAAGAATTTTAG